AAAAAAAAAAAAGGAATGGTATGTGACGTACAATAAACACCCTGTTGCTATAACAAATGCCATAATCAAGATCAGGAAGTGGAACGCGGCAGATGATTCTGCTCATACCGATCACAAACACTAACGCAGGATTGGTCAGTTTCTCTGCCAAGATAGCAGTAATTACCACAGACCGACGCGCAAGAGGACCAAGACTGCCTTCGCGATGTTCAGGCCCAATTATTTGAAACCTCGAAAAGAAAACGCACCAATGTGGAGACTAGTACAACAGACCTTCTATACACTGCGAACACAGATTGATATCGTCAGTAGATATGTACGAAAATATGCGATGACGAACATATCCAGGTTCGCCAAATGAAAAAGCTGGACGGATGAAATATGAGACACCGCTAGGGAACACATAGAAGTCGCACCTCTGAACCAAGCCTGCGATCACGGCCTGCGCTCGAAGTCAATTATTGAGTATGCAATGGAGCTAATTTGATCAAAGGAATACTACCCCTGCTATTAATATAACCTGCATCCCAAATGCGGTTTACTTTCTTGAGATGAGGCGGATGAAAAATCATAAACTTACCCCATCGTCCCTAAGGAGAACATCAAATATGAATACATGGAAGCAGAAGACAAAAACGGGACTTACCAAATGACACGAAGAATGCCTTCAAGGCTCCCAAAGTCGGTGATTGTGTAGTGATAATTGACATGTATACAAAATGCTGTGTGCAAAGACTCTAAACACCTTCAAAAGAAAAGAATAATGAGAAAATATGTTTTGCGGTTGAAGCTGACGATCTTACCATACAGATGCGACCAATGAGCGAAGCAATCTTGAGTCGTCCTGCGATGTCCACCAGTAGAATTATACCTGTGCGGTGACAATCCCGTACAGACTTAAGACCAGGGTATCGTGAGTAAGCCAGGTAGGAGGTAGTAGGAACGTACAGTACAGCAATATCTAGGCAGACTGTAAGGCCGCCCATAATCTCTTCAATAGATGGTGGGGAGATGGCGGGCACCTTGGATCTGGTCTTATTTCGCGAAGGTGAGAAGTGGCATTTGCAAGATTTATGGGGAGCACGTCGAGAAAAAATTCGGTAACTAAAGCTCGCAAACCCCTTTATATGTATATGGTGCTCGAGATTGTAGATGTGAGGCTGAGCCATCTTCTCCGTAGCAATATTCATTTGACGATAGTACCATCTTGATTCGAACATGGCCCGTCTGGCAAACCGTGTCCTCGTATCCACCTTCTGCCACGCAAGCTGATTATGTGCCCTTCTGAGTCCTATCCTGTCTTGGCCCTCATTACTGCCAGCCTACCTAGGTCGCTGTAGTCCGTTCGTGTGTTCAAATGCGAGTACAACCCGGCTGGTATGTGGCCGGAACAGGGACAGAGAGTGGCACATAGGCCGCTGAGCGAACGGGCACCGCGTTCGAATATCCATTGTAAATCTGATTCGATTCCTGTGTCAATGAGCAATATATCATGCTACTGTGACGATCAAGTTCACTCAGCTATTGCGAGCTATTACTATGACATCCACGGAGTAGATAGCCTCCTAGTTTCATCTCTTGTTATATAGGTCAATGACATCGATGAGGTATAATTTGAAATTTTGAATGTGTATAACATGATTGTGCGATTAAATCATGCTACTGTGGCAGTTTAAATCACCATTTGGGATGCCACAACAGCCCGTACCGATGGGCTACTATGTAGTTGAAAGATGAGCATG